CGGGATTCGTGGCGCAGAGCACATGTCGATTGGACAATTCCAGGAAGAATTCTTTGAAGGCGAGCTCAAATCGTACAGCGGAATATTTGATGACGCGAAGAGGAGGAAAAGTTCGCAGTTGAACGAATTAAGGTCCTCTCGTTCCATCGCTTCCAATGAGGTTGCGATTCCCGACTGACCCTCCGCAGGTTTCGCTGCCCTCTGATGCCTCGGCGTTTTAAGGTGCGGCAATCGTACCACTTAGGGGACACGTAGCATTTATGGGACAGTTCTCTTATTTTCCGAGACTTCGACTTGGAGCGAGCTGTAGACTAGGATTTCACGGCTGAGATGATGAATCAAGATGTCGAGCTCTCAGTCCGAGCTTCAAAACTACGTTTTTTCCCCAGCTATGCGCAATCGGGGAAATCTGATCTACATTACCTCGAATGCCACGGAATTCTCAATGGAATCCTAGGCCTCTCTGCCCAACTCCTTCGTTTTCAGAATAATCCGCTGCGAAGAATGTAATTTCTTCTTCTCATCATGATCCGATGCGAATAAGCTCCTTATTTAGCTTCGCCCCAGACTCCGATATACGCTACGAGCTCAGTTCTTCGGCGACGCACAAAAGGGTAGGCACGCTCGTTGTTCTCACCAATTTTGGGACACCTCAGGATCGAAAGTTCAGTCACTCCGAAATTCCGCTTTTGTCCGATGTCCTACATGACGAGCTTCATCAAGAAAGCCATCGCTTCCGGACCTCTGATCAGACAGAAGTCAGATTCGGTGATCGTCGTAGAAAGGGGAAAGGAGGGCGGCCCTTCTCTCTTGGCTGCTAACAGCAGTCTCGGCGGCGGCGGTGCAAATCATAACGACTCTTCGAAGAATATTTGTATGGATGACTAGCGCTCCCGGTCGCCGCTTCGCGGCGACTCGGTATCGCTAGACTCACTACACATGCGCTAGCTCCGAGTGCGCTGGCTCCGAGTGCGCTGGCTCCAAGTGCGCTGGCTCCGAGTGCGCTGGCTTCGGGTGCGCTTGCTTTGGTCGCGCGTGCTCTTGGTGAGCGTCCCGTTTCCCTGCTTTCCCGTTTCCCTGCTTTCCCGTTTCCCCGCTTTCCCGTTTCCCCACTTTCCTGTTTCCCCGCTTTCCCGTTTCCCCACTTTCCCGTTTCCCCGCTTTCCCGTTTCCCCGCTTTCCTGGTTCCCCACTTCCCGTTTTCCCAATTTCCCTTTTCCCATTTTCCCGTTTTCCCACTTTCCCGTTTTCCCACTTTCCCGTTTTCCCACTTTCCCGTTTTCCCACTTTCCCGTTTTCCCACTTTCCCGTTTTCCCACTTTCCCGTTTCCCCACTTTCCCGTTTTCCCACTTTCCCGTTTTCCCACTTTCCCGTTTTCCCACTTTCCCGTTTTCCCACTTTCCCATTTCCACACTCTCCCATTTCCCCATTCTCCCGTTTCCCTGCTTTCCCGGTTCCCCACTTTCCCGATTCCCCACTTTCCCGATTCCCCACTCTCCCGTTTCCCCGCTTTCCCGGTTCCCCGCTTTCCCGGTTCCCCGCTTTCCCGGTTCCCCACTTTCCCGGTTCCCCGCTTTCCCGGTTCCCCGCTTCCCCGGTTCCCCGCTTTCCCGGTTCCCCGCTTTCCCTGTTCCCCACTTCCCCGTTTCCCCGCCTCCCCGTGCCCCCGCTTTTATTAGATATGTCCTCCGGAAAATCGAATTCCCGTCTTTCCCTTGATGAAATCTTTGATTCTCGGTGAGAGGACCACTCAAATCATTTTTTATGGGGGGAGGACCCATAACATGAGAACGACGACCCTCAGATGACCTTCCTGAAGCTCCCGGGAACCCACCCCTGAATTTTTGCGGCGATCGGTTCAGGCGTTAGTTGAATTTTGCGAATTTCAGATTTTTCAATTTTTTTCCGAGTTTTCGTATTTTCGTGGGTGGAGCACTCAAATAATTTTTTAAAGGTAGAAGGACTCATCGCATCGGAGAACTGACCCCCCTATAACCACCGCTGGATCCCCCAGAACACGCTCCTAAATTTTCACGACGATCGGTTCAGCCGTTTTCGAGTCTATAGGGTACCCCGGACAGACAAACAGACAGACAGACAGACAGACAGACAGACAGACAGACAGACAGACAGACATACGTTTTTATATATATAGATAGTCTCGAACCGATGAATCTGCCATGGTAGTGGAATCAAGAAAAATGCCTATGAGATCCCTGATGAGGGAAAGCTGGCCCAACCGGTTGGATAGAGGGTCGAGATCGTCGAACATGTGTGCTTCCGACTGATTGGGTTCTGGGTGCCCAGGTTCGAATCCGGATGCCGGAATGATGCGAGAGAGAATCGTGACTTCAAACTACCCGAGAAAGGGAATCCGTGGAAGCTCCCGGCCACCGGCGGCAGGTTATTCGTCCATCCTTCCCGAACGGCACCGGCGGGTGGGCACGGTCCGACAAAAGTCAGGTGACAAGTTTGCAGATTCGCCATCCCCCGCCAGGCCCCGCGAGATGTCGGTGTCAAGCTCGCTAAAGAACTGGCGAAAGATGGAAGAGAGCGTGCCGCGGGAATCACGTCTGGCGACAAGTGGCTGCGACTATTCCTTGCTCGCCATCCGGAGATTGTCCTCCGAACCCCGGAGCACATTTCACGTTGTCAAGCAAGTTTGACGGAGAGCGACATCCGCGCTCATTTTGGCGGGATCGAAACATACCTCCGTGGAGAAGATCTCTTAGCGGTCCTTGAAGGTCCAAGGCGGTTCTTCAATACGCACGAGACCGGCATGTGCCTGAATCCCTCAATGGGTCCCTCCCTCGAGAAATGAGGTTAGCGCGAAAGGTGGTAGTTTGCTCTTCAAGACAATGTTGCAGAATTCCACGGGAGCCTCGCATAGAGGGCAAGCGCTGGAGTCCTTCGCAATGAGATCTTCCAGGTGGCGCGGACGAAGGCAGACAGGACCGCCACTCGAGCTGTTCGGGAAGCTCACGTGAACCTTCACTTCTGGTGAATCGCAAACCTGATCCAGACTGAGTCCATCGGATTCCTAGTCAAAAATAAGGAGGAGAGAGGGAGTCTCCCGTGCTGACCGCCACAAGAGCCGGGGCGACAAACAGGAGAAAATTTCAATTTCAATATGGGATTGAATGGGGCAAGTTTCTCAATGCAAGCCGATATCATCCTAGAAGAGATTTTCCTCATGCATGCTGGAAAAGCATAGGGAGACCCACAAATAAAGATAAAAGCCGATCCATCGCCCTTTTATCTTCGATGATGACACTAGGTTGCTGGGCACCAAGTTTCCTTCCGACATATATAGACAGCCCCTGCCCTCCCCTTTTCCTTTCATGAGTTATGATCATCGAGGATTAACCCGAAGTGGAATGATGGAGCGATCGACGAACATCGTTATTGGGGCTCTCCCTATGTGCTTTCCCAGCTCGCGGGATAATTATGCATGCAAAAGATCTCTTCCAGGATGTTCTCGGCTCATATTGAGAGACTTGCCCCATATACCCCCATATCGAAGTCGAAGCTTTCTCCTGTTTGCCGCGCCGGCTCCTGTGGCGGTCAGCACGGGAGACTCCGTTTTTATTTCTAATTTTCGATGAGCAATCAGATGCACTAAGTCAGGATCAGCTTTGCGATTCACCAAGAGTGAAGGTTTACTTGTCAGTACAGCAGCTCGGATTCCGGTAGCCGAGCTGGCAAATTCATCGACGTGGGCGACTGGGCGCGGTGGAGGGGGATATGGAGTGCATGGAGACATGTCGGGGTGCTTGGGTTCGAGAGTTTGTCTTCTGTTCTCGTCAGTGGGCGCCGCGCCGTGACGTCTGTGGAGAGCAGTGTGCGGGCCGCTGCCGTCACCTCGCCCTGCGCAAGCTCGGATTGCACCAAGCGAGCTGTAGGGAAATCACCTCTGTTTCTGTGAACAAGGTCATTCCCATTACTGTCTTAAAAAGTTTTCAGAAGTCAGTGTTTCTCTTGAGTTGATTACACTTGTTTACATGATAATTATACTTGAATATGTAAGCCAAGAAACCCTGATCTAATTGATACAGAAAAAGACTGAATGGTCTTTTTGATGAAATATATTGAGTCCTCAGTCTAGTATGCGCCCAGAAATCCCTGTGGCTAGAATTAGTGAATTCACCAGAGCGGAACGTCCCTGGGTATTTTCTCAACCCTTCCGCACGCTTCATTCTCAGTGTTCTTCTGTAACCCTCAGTATCTGAACAATTAGCTAACCCTGAGCGGTTGTTACAATGTAACCCCTTTTCACTGGACCACTATATAAGGATGGAATAAAGAATCCCCCATCAAGGGGGAACGTTCGCCAGTTACCCAGTGTGATCGCTAGCCTAAGTATCGATAAGTGGACTTCAAATTCTTCACTTTTTCTGGAGAACTCCTTCCGTTTTTTCACTGTAAGGGTTTATGAAACCCGGACGGTATATAAGACACACTGAAATAAACATCAGACACAGATTCTTCTGTCACACGCAGGGGCGTGCCCAGGATTTCGTCTTGGGGGGGGCCAACATTCATCCCGGGGTTCGTCGATCTCGACTTCGCCGTGAACCGAAGACAAATGAAGAGACCGTTCGTAGGCACCATTCATGTTTATATGATATGATAAGGAAGGTAGCTAGCTTAGCTTATCGATTATATTACAAGAGTCGGAGGCGGCTTGATGCCGCTCCTTGCTAAAAGTTTCATCCTTTGACTTCACTCAGGACACAATTTGAGGAGGTATGAGGTGTTATCATTCGATTTAGATGTTAGGAAGTTATGAGATGAGTCATGAGTTGGGCAAACTCTTGCTTCTGTCTCATCCCCGCTCCTCGCAATGAGCGACAACGACGATCTTTCGGATTGAGCGATGGCCATCGCCTATAGAACAATGTCTAACCTTCTCGGATCCTGGGCGATTAAATCGACAACTTCGTCGACACTAACCGGTACATCGCGCTGCAGAGTCATCGAAGCCAATCCATTGAGTCGTTCATGCCCCATCGTAGATCGAAGATAAGTTTTTGAGCAGCTTCAGGGAGCTGAAGGTTCTCTCGGGTGTTGATGTCGTCACGGGGAATGTGGCAAATATCTGGAGGAGGGTCGCGATCTTCGGATATTCGTTCCTTGGACAAAAGCTGAGTGCTTCGATTGCGGTTTCTGGAAGCTCGTTCCCAGCCTTCCTGCCCCACTTCGCCTTCCAGCATTCAAACTCCCCTCTGAGAACGCTGGCACTGCAGTCTAAGTCGGTCTGATAGAAGTCCAGCGTTTCAATGAGATCGGCGAAAGTGCTACTGACGGTATACTTCGGTACAAGGCATTGGACTTTCATTGCCTTTTGCCGAGAATCGGCGAACAGCGAACGAAGCTCCTGGATCAAATGGTCAAGATACTGAACGTACATAGTCACCCGGAATAAGCTTCGGGTGTCTCCGCCTGATGATTTCCCTGTGCATTTGTCTACCGCTAATGCGAGGCATTTTGATCTCGACATCCAGCAGAGCGCAGATCTCTGTGACTTCATCGTAGATTATCTTGAACTCGGTCTCAACATTTTGACGCTTAAGCTCAAGAATGGATAAGATGTTGTCGACCATCCTGAGAGCGGCAAAAATATCGAGGCTTTTTTTCTGTAATTGCATAGACAACGGGAGAAAAATGCACGAGAAGCTCTCAATGGTGAGTAGAGCGAACACGAAGTCGCATTTGCAGACGGAGCTCTCTAGTTCGTATGCTCGCACGCCAGTTTCTCCCGTGACTTGTCCGAGCTCAACCAAACAGTGGAAGAGGGGGACTAGAAGCTCTCTGAAAGTAATGAAGGCGTGGTGCGATTCGACCCAACGAGTGGGGCACAGAGCTTTGAGCCGTGTTTTGGACGACGTGGGTGCGTGGGCATCTATCTTATCCATCAGGCATTGGTGTCGCTTCGTAGACTTACAGAAGAAGTTACAAACGCTCTTGACGACACCAGCGGCCAGTTTGATAGGGACAATTTCGGCGGAATGGACGAGCGCGAGGCTGAGGCAATGACTGGCGCAGTGAAAGTACAGGGCTTGAGGCACCACGGCCTTAATTTCTGCTTGGACACCATTTCCAGCTCCTTTCATCGAAGCACAACGTCATATCCTTGACCTCTGATATTTCTCACGTCGACTCCTTCCTCTTCCAAAGCATCCAAGATGGTACGCGCTAGCGCGGCTCCGGTTTTCTGAGCTACGGCGCAGAACTTCAGAAAACTTCCTTGACGACAGGCTTGCTGGCTGAGGTCGATATGTAACGCAGGCAAATCGTCAACTGATCGATCCTACCGGCGTCTGATGTCTCATCCGCGAGCACGGCGTAGAACTTAGAATCATTGACCTCCCGTACTATCTTTCTTCGGATGATCTTTCCTATTGCCGCTATGAGCTCATTTTGGAATTTATTGCTCATGTATGTCGCGTTTCGTTTGAGATTGTTCAGATGCTCTTCAAGGAGAGAGTCTCCACAATCAAGACGAAATCTCAAGAGCGCACGGAATTTCCGTCGTTCGCGTTTTCTCCGCCCGAATCGAGAAGTCCGTTGTCTCTGTGTCCCCTCAGGGGTATATTCTGTCTACCACACAACAGTATCGTTTTCACGATGGGTATCAATCTCTGGCGGTTCTTCACAACTTGCTCTTCTCGGGCTTTCACTAAACGATTTCTGATATCGAGATTGACTCGGTCTCCATGCCACTCAAGAAAGTCATTCGCGCTCTCACTGGCTCTGCGATGATACTCACTGAGAGCGTGATTCTTGAGAATGTCGACTGCTTTCTTGAACCTGTTCAGCGGCTGAGTGATGAGTACACCTCGCTTTCTGAGACCCCCGTGGCTCGAAGATTCTGTTTTCGCAAAAAGAACGCAATGCTTACAGAAACCTCCACCCCCAAACATCTCACTGTATGCCAACCAAGGCCACAGACTGAGATAGTGGTATTGGAACGCTCGAGAGCGATTCGACTCTATCGTTTTAGGGAAAGCATACTCTTTGTCCGGTTCCCAACAGTGTGTCAGAGCCTCAAATCGCTCCTCGTCTGTCAGGGAATGGTCGCAACTTCCATTGCTTGTCACGAATTTCCCTATATCCATGGGGTTGAGAGCGACTCTCTGTCGCCTCGCCGACGGTGATGACACGGTCACTTCGTCTCCCAGCGTTGTCGCGTCTGGAGCAGATTCTTCCTCATTCAGCGCAACTCCGGATGGTACTGATACTGATGCGAAGTGATCTGTGATGTTCCGAGCTTCGGTCAATTCATTTGTAGAAGAATCGGGTGGAGTCTCGATGCTTTCACTGTTCTTTCTCGAGAAAAAAATTGTGAGCTTACTTTGCCCAGCCATTATCTCTGCTTGGCGATCCTTCGTCGCTGGATTCACAGTCACTTATCAGAAACAGAGAAATTAGGTCATGGTCATTCGCTCCCGCCTCTAGAGAGAAAAATCATTCCTCTTCGAAATCAGTCGACACCAGCAGCTGCGCGGAGAGTCAAGCGCCACAGGTCTCGATGGATGGTGGATACATCCGTCTACACATACGCGTATATGTACACGCAAAACATTCGAATCCTTTCCCACGCCTCCACTCAAACCATGTGGACCTGAAAATCTTGGGGGGGCCATGGCCCCTTGGCCCCCCCCTCGCGCACGCCACTCG